GGGGGGGTTGCCATCATTTTGAATCAAGTCCTCAAGGGTTAATGATTGTATTCTACAATGTGTATCACAGTGGCATATGGTGTCCTTTACAGAAAGGCATTCACAGACAATTGCTACCTTTCCACCCCTATACATACACAAACAAAGACAACTTCCTCCACTATTTGCCAATTTAGCAACATAAAATAGATCAGATTATTCTGTCTGTCCGTACTCTACATAAACATCTTCACCTTTCTGTGCTCCTTCCTGGCTGAAGAATTGTAAAATATTACTACTAATATGCTTAAATGGATATCTACTGTATTACCAAAAATTTATTATTCTTAACTGACAATGACAGATGGTGGACAAACATTCCAAACCTTTCATTTAGGAAAAGAAGCAATAATACAAAATTAAAACATCTCACTAGACATAAAACTATATTACTGAAAAATTGTGCATAAAATATCAAAAGTACAAATAAATGTTCTGCAGAAAGATTTTCCCCATCACTGTTAAATATGGGATATAGACTTGATTTCATTTTAAATAGTTTATTTATGCCTCATGTTCAGCATCATATTCTATAAATCACATGTTTGTAGTGGCTACATCTTGATTTTTCAAAAAGTATTTAAATATTAATAGGCATGAATTTTAAAAAGCTGAATTAAAAAACCTCCTCCGTCATTATATAAAAGGAGAGAGTCATTAGTACCCCGCTGTAGGAAATAAGCCACGACCATGGCCTTATGGACCACCTTGAACTTAACCCTGTGGGGTACAGGGTATAATTGGCCGTTTTTGATTACTTTTGATTTTACCTCTATATTTCACCTTTAAAAACTGTTTATCTTGACCTTGTTTGGTGTCATTATTTTCAGCACAACCTCAAATATCTGAATTGGAGTTGTTTTTTTTTTTTCATTTTGACATACTATATTTCAGCACAATTGATCAAAATTCAGAGAAAAATTTAAAATCCAAGTAGAAAAAGGTTATATTTTTTACTGTAAAAACCACAAACATGTTTAACAAATCATTGTCATAACTTGAAATGCAAATAGAAATAATACATTTCTAAAAATTATCCACAACTTTTGCAAACAACAAAGTTATATGGTACTATTTACCTAAAAATGCAGCCAAGGCCTCAGGCGTTTTTTATAAAAACATATTTACAGAACAATCAGGTGTTATGCATTAAATAAGAAGACACAAATTATTCATTCAACTCCAAAAAATTGTTTGTGTCCACTATAAGACAGAGGAGAACACCACAGGCCTAAACCCTGCAGGTCTGACAAACAAGGTGTATCAGTCCAGTTTTCCATGTGGGGACAGCATTTACACACTAACTATAGCCTCCAAATACGCTAAATGTCACTAATGTCTCACATGTGAAAAATCGCTCTCTCTCTTTCTCTCTTTCTTTCTTTCTTTCTTTCTTTCTTTCTTTCTTTCTTTCGCTCGCCCGCTTTTTCTCATGGGTGTCACTCCTAAAACTTCCTCTTCTCCCTAAACAACCAAGTGCCACATGTTGCCATATCATTTTTTTGATTGGTTGACATGGTACACTTTAACACCAATAGGGAAGTGGTGTTTTTTCTTTTCTTTTTTCACTCGCAAGCAGAAAGTGTTTGCCAATGTTGTCCTTAGAAAACACAGTTTTTGTCATTTCTTCCCGCTGTAAACACCACTGTTTTGTCCAGAAAAAAACATTGTGTGTATTTTTTATCATAATTCTGGTTTTACGTGTAATTTAAAAACTGGTATATAGTTTGAAGTCTGAAATTTTAACCCAAGTTGAAATGGAGACATCTTGTAGCTGTGTCGCCTTAAATTGGCTGTAAAGCCAAATACCACCGGGTGATCCAGGCATTGGCATCTTCATGGGTGGAACCACTGCACCAGGGTGTGGTCTGAGCAAAGAGCGAATGAGTGCCCCAGGAGATAACAGCACAAGGAATCAACTGCCCACAGGACCACCAGACACTCCTTTTTATGGTGCTGTACGAAAGTGTGGCAAACTGGTACAAAACCTACAGAGTGGAGAAGGTAATCTTTTCCTTGGACTCCACAGACAAGGGAATCTGCCAGTAGGCCTTGGTTAAATGCAGTGTCGTCAAAAATCGGGCTGTGCCTAACCGGTCCAGGAGCTCATCAATCCGGGGCATGGGGTAGGGATCAAACTGTGACACTTCGTTCACTTTGCAATAGTCAACACAGAACCATGTAGACCCATCTTTCTTTATGACCAGAATTGTGGGGCTACATCACGCGCTATGCGACTCTTCTATTACTCCTGTTCTCAGCATTTCAGTCAATTCCTTCTGAAGAATTTGCTGCTTATGTTCTGGTAACCTATAGGGCCGTGAATGCACCGTCACGCCAGGTTGCATTTCAAAATGGTGCTCTATGAGCATTGTGTGGCCAGGCATGGGGAAGAACACATCCGGAAAATGCTGTTGCGTAGCAGCAACATCCGCTCTCTGAGTCTGTGTGAGATGGTGGTGGTGGAATTTCGCTGCTCATCTCTCTGCTTCACCAGGCTCACCAGAGAAGCGGTTTCAACCCCTCTCCATGCTTTAAGGAGGTTGAGGTAATATACCTGTGTGACTCCTCTCCCTGTCTGACTGTACCACCACATAGTCAACACCACCCACCCACCATGTGACCACGAAGGGCCCTAGCCACCTGACGAGTAACTTTCCTCTGGAAGTAAGGAGTAACACAAGCACTTTGTCTCCCGGTGGAAAATTACCTGAGTCTAGCCCCTCTGCTGTTGACTTTTCTGGGCCTGAAGCTAATACTCTCATGATAACCTACCCGGTGTGTGTGGCTTTCCTCTCAGGTCCATGATGTACTGAATCTCATTTTTTACCAGGCTTGGACCTTCCTCCCAGTTCAGCTTCCTGCCAAAGAGCAGTTCAAAGGGAGAAAATCGCATGGAGGCCCGGGGCACTATGAACA